GTACTAAATAGAAAGGGACGACATGTGAAGGGTTAGGTGTGTGTGTGTGTGTGTGTGTGTGTATGTGTGTGTGTACTGTCACATGTTCTAAGAGTCAAGAAGTGTGAAGTCTCCATATTGGTCACTAACAACTTGTTTTATTGAACAGTAGCTATCCTCTATCTTTTCCCCATCCAGAAAATGTTCTCAGTAAGATCATATCATTCCTACTATTAGAGGTCAGTGGCTCTGAAAAAATGTAGGGAAACCTACATGCACTGCATGAAGCAGATCTGCTGGTAACCACTGCTTGAGTTTTTCATCATTACTTATTCCATGCAGTACCAGATCAGGCATGTATGTGGGACAGTAACCACCGAGAAGTGACCTTCCAAAGTTTTTCACACTTGGACTGCTGATTATGTTGGATCTGAAACAGAAGAATATGAAGCCCATTCAAAAGCCAAGAGCATAGCCATCCTTCAGATATCTCTCCCCATTCCTCCTATAGGCACAATAAGTATGGTGAACTTGTCAGCATAATAGACTTGTCACAAGATCTTCAAATACATGAAACTGATGCAATTCTTATCTGACAGGCTACATTTAGATGCTGTTGAGAGACCTGACATTAACTAGCCCTCAGGTTTACTCTGTGCCTGGATCTGTAGCCTGTTTAAATTTACATAGCAAGTCCTCTGGCATTTAAAATTAAGCAGTACTAAATGAAGCCACACAATGAAAAAAGAAACAACGAAGCAGAGTTAATATTGGTGTACCTTAACATTCCCTGACTAAATTTAAACAGTTAAAATCTAGAAAACTAAAATGTTTTGAAGAAAAGAAGACAAGTCTGCAACTGTTAGGCCTTGTGGAATATATAAGCTCCCTGTTTTGCAGCTAGTTGGCTTGCTGAGCTTGAGAGTTCATTGCTTGGTTCAGTGAACACTTAACTAAATGCATATGCAGTCTCCAGCAAAGCAAAGGCATCCGTCTTGAATCAGAATTATGCTTGCATTAAATTTTAGACTTCATCCGTGTACCAAAAAGTGTGATTAGAATTTTTATACTCTCCCTAAACTCAAAAGGATGAGAAAAGTATTTTACTCAAACTTTCACAGATGTTCACCTTCTGCCAGAGGACAAACATGGAACATTTCAGCCTTAAGGGAACAGTTTTCAAGACCCTACACAATAATAAAGCCCAAATAACTGGCTGATTGAAGTTCATAGAGCTCTGCCTGGTCACAATGGCTCTCCTGCACTGTTCAGAACTTAAATGGTAAAAGATGTATGTGGGGGATGGAGATGTTATAATGGAAATTTAATAACAACTTCTAGCAAATATTATACGTTAAAGTTACTTTAAGTACTCCAGACCAGTCTTAGGAGGTTTATTTTATTTGTTTTTGTTTTTAAGTAAATGAATTTAAATGTTCATGCTGGGTAGACAGTGAAGTTTTCAATTCAAAGCAAAGGCAATAACTATGCACACTCCCTACCCCACCAGCATGTGTCTTAGCCCTGGTGAAGGACCAGAAATCTCTGAGAAAAAAAGCCCTGTCAAATAAACAATTCTTTTGGCAAGCAGTCAGTGTATCATCCTACTCAATCTCTGCCTTTTGCTGAGACTGCCAACAAGGGACACAGTTGCAACAGCAATTTTTACAGTACAGACACATCAGCAAGAAACTGAGTTGAGACCCCATGCATTTCACAGACCACTGAACAGCTCTTGGGTAGCAACAGCGTTTGACCCCAGTTGGCACAAGATTCACTCAAATACATTCTTTACCTTGGTAAAGGAAGTTCTACTTCTGTAAATTCTTCATGCCTATTGCTGACATGGCCTCGAGGGTGTAGATCAGAGATACATGAAGCACCATCGTCGTCGCTGTCTCCAAGTGCACTATCTGAACTCTCATTCCTAGGAATATCCCCTTCAATTCGGAAGGAGATTTTTCTTCCAGCATCCCCATAGGGGACATCTTCAGTGACTACTTGGCCAGAGTCCTGTACGTCAGAACTTGTTTTAACAGAGTCAAGTGAATGGCCCTCCCCATTCTTGGAGCACAGGATTCTAGCTTCCTTTAAGATTTCAGTTTTTACAGTTTCTATTTTGTTATCAGATGGCTTAAGTGATTCATCTGACAAGCCACACCGAGTAGAAGTATTTGCTACATTCATTTCAATTTTATTACCCTCAGCAAAATATTCATCAAATATACTTGCACTCGCTTCACATGACGGAATTTGTGCATAACAGATATTACGCCTAATGTGTAATGGGTTAAGGGAGGCTTTGGAAGTTTTTTGTTGGCTCTGGGAAGTTTCTGCAGGCACATTTGGTGGACTTGAAGTACAGCTTGCTACCTGTAGATTTTTTTTGAACGCCCTAAAATTTTCATCCATGTCCCTCTTGCGAGTTTCTAAATCAGACTCTGGCGATGTAGAACTTCCAATCTGGAAGGTGACCCTTTCTAAATGAGGACTCCTATCAACAAACCTCTCAGGACACGGTAGAACAGATGATCTGCCAGATGGCTTTTCTGCCACTTCACTCGTGGTCTGGTTGCTATTCTTTAAGTCATCCGTTAAATCCTCTGATTCTATTTGTTCTTCAAAATGATAGGACACAGTTCCTATATCAGCTACCTTCCCTTTCCTACTGTCATCTACCATTCCTTTAGACTCAGAACTGCCAACTGTGCAGTCTTTTGATGCAATACAGGATGCCCAGGAGCTCTGATCACCCTTTCCTGTTACTTCTTCATTCTTTTCTTTTGAGGGTATTGGCAGAGCAGGAGAGCTCTCTGGGTTACTGACATGCCCCACCTTGCTACTGGTTTGATTTCCACCATTCTTCTGAGGTAGGATTGGCGGCACAAGAGCAGGTTCATTCTTAACAGTGACAACCACATAATCAGATTCTTCAACCTCTCCCTTTTCCAATGTAGTTGTGATCTTCCTTCCATTTAGCAGTTGCTCTTCCTCTCCAACTTTCCCATTCCAGGTCAGTTGATTTTCCTGTAGCTCAGAGCACCGTAGGAAGTATGTTAGAACGTAGAGAATACGTTGAACTAATTCTTTATGTTTTCCAACAATCACAGTCCGTGTCAGCCTAACAGGAGAGCCTATGGCACCATACAGATCACCTGTGCAAACATATAGGGAAACAGGTACTTCACAAATGTGTATGTGGTTACACTACAAGTTTCAGAAGTAGAAAACAGACATTCAATGCATTCTTTGTAAGAACACACTTACATAATTTGGGCAATTCCTTTTTAGATCATTTTAACATGCTTTGCCTCACAGCAAATTAATGGAGGTTTGAAACATTTGTTTTTCCTTTTTTAAACCCAGTATTTCCTCTTATTTGCACCCAGGCTTGTTTTCATAGGGTTGATCATGAGCATGAGACTGCTAGCATTCAATCTCAGTCACCTCTACACTACTGGAAGTTTTGTTTTACAAAACAAAGCTTACAAGATGTTATTTTCATTAGGAAATGGAGACAAGGAAAGTAAGTCTTTTTACTTATATGCTGAGCACATTGCTACGGAAATCAGAAGCAAACAAACAGGAAGCCCAATTGACATTTTTAATAGAGTTTCTAGGAATAAAAGCCAAATCAAAGCCTTGATCCTAAGAACATACTCACAGGATTAACTTTATGCATGCAAGTAGTCCCACAGGGAATAGGGAAAGAACAGGTTAAAGATTGTTAGATAATTTAGATGTATTGAAGTTGGCAGGGCCTGACAAAATACACCCTAGGGTACTTAAGAAATTAACTGATGCAATCTCTGAACCATTAGCAATTATCTTCAGGAACTCATGGAGGATGGGTGAGATCCCAGAGGGCTGCAAAAGGGAAAACATAGTACCTATCTTTAAAAACGGGGAACAAACGGGGACCAGGGGAATTATAGATCAGTCAGCCTAACTTCGATACCAGAAAGATACTGGAACCAATTATTAAACAATCAGTTTTTAAGTACTTAAAGGATCATTGGGTGAACACATAATAGCCAGCAAGCATTTGTCAAGAACAAGTAATGCCAGAACAACCTAATTTCCTTCTTTAACAGGGTTACTGGCCTACTTGAGTTGGGGGGGGGGGGGGGGGGAGGGGAGAGAGGAAGAGGGAAGCAGTAGACGTGATGTAGCTCGATTTTAATAAGACTTTTGATGCAGTCCCAAATGCCACTCTCATAAGCAAACTAGGGAAGTATGGTCAAATTGAAATTACCATAAAGTGGATACACAACTGGTTGAAAGACAGTACTCAAAAAGTAGTTATCAATGGTTCACTATCAAACTGGGAGGATGTATCAAGTGGGATCACCGAGGGGCCTGTCTTGGATCCGGTATTTTTCAATATTTTCACTAATGACTTGGATAATGGGGTCGACCGTATGGTTATAAAATTTGCTGATGATACCAAGCTGGGAGAGGTTGCAAGCACCTTGGAGGACAGCATCAGAATTCAAAAAGACCTTGTCAAATTGGAAAATTGGTCTGAAATCAATAAGATGAAATTCAATAAAAAACAAGGGCAAAGTACTTCACTTATGAAGGAAAAACCAAATGCACGACAACAAAATGGGAGTAACTGGCTAGACAGCAGTACTGCTGAAAAGGATCTGTTCTAGTGCATCACAAGTTGAATATGAGTCAGTATCAGTTGTTAAAAAGACTAATATAATTCTGGGGCATATTAACAGGAGTATCATCTGTAAAACATGAGAGGTAATTGTTCTGCTCTACTTGGCACTGTTGAGGCCTCAACTGGGGTATTGTGTCCAGTTCTGGGAGCCACCCTTTAGGAAAGATGTGGACAAACTGGAGAAGTCCAGAGAAAAGCAAAAAAACTGATAAAAGGTTTAGAAACCCTGACCTATGAAGAAAAGTTAGAAAAACTGTATAACCTTAGTTTTGAGAAGAAGGGGGGAGGGACCTGATAGCCTTCAGATATGTTAAGGACTGCTGTAAAGAGGATGCAGCAAAGGAGATTTAGGTTAGATGTTAGGAAAATCTTTCTAATTATCATGGTAGTTGAATACTGGAATAGGTTACCAAGGGAGGTTGTGTAATGCTCATCATTGGAGATTTATACGTACAAAGTTAGACAAACAACTGTCAGGTATAGTCTAGATATACTTGGTCCTGCCTCAGCATGGGGTGATGGACTAAAAGATGACATCTCGAGCTCCCTTCCTTTACATTTCTATGATTAACAGTTAGGTGTATTAAAGCAAATGCTTGCTTGCAGGATTCAGGCTTAAGTTAGTATTATATGTATATAAACTTATAATAATAATAATAAATAATAATAATAATAATAATAATAATAAGACAACACAATATAAAATTTTAAAATAAAAACTTAAGGTTTGCAGAGACTGAGCAGTTCCTTCATAATTAACAATATAGTTTTATCACTTATGGAATGCTGCAATTAACTGAAATCATAGCATTTTAGTATAATTTAATAATAAAACATGCATTTATAAAAAGCTTTCCATTTTTAAAGCTCTTTACAAATATTACACCCTAACCTTCCAAAAGATTTGTTTTTAGAAAGCACTTTTGTACTATGAACCCTGTCTTTTTAGGATGGAACCACCAGAGGGCAACATTTTCCTTCATACTGATGTACATTACAATAAACATCTGAACTCACTTTTTTTTATGTGAGAATAAGAAAGAACTGAGATGATTCGAGTTCAATCATTTAGAATTTGTCTGGGTCTTTAAAACTAGTATTAGCTTCCTTCTGAGCCTACCCCATAATGTACACTGTTACCAGCTCTGAGTTTGGGTAACAATTTATTTCCCTTCTTTCTTGTAGAACTACTGGCAGCTCTTCCTGGGAGAGAGGACAAAATCTACTGCCCAAACAGGCATCATACAGCTCCCTCCAGCTGGCTTCTATATACCTCAGCCCTGGCTTCTTGTTTCCCTAAGCCAGCTCCCACTTTCCTGAACCTCAAAACACCCAGTCCCTTACTCCTCTCCTCAATTACTCAATAACTCAGTAACTTTTCAAAATCTCTCTTTCTGAAAGCAAGCAATACAACTCTTCACCACAAATATATATATAGAGGAGTTCGGAATCTTCAGTGCCAGAGAGGCACTGTTCTCAGTGGTGGCAGATGACAGAACAAGGAGCAATGGTCTCAAGTTGCAGTGTGGGAGGTCTAGGTTAGATATTAGGAAAAACTATTTCACTAAGAGGATGGTGAAGCCCTGGAATGGGTTACCTAGGGAGGTGGTGAAATCTCCATCCTTAGAGATTTTTAAGGCCTGGCTCGACAAAGCCCTGGCTGGGATGATTTAGTTGGGGTTGGTCCTGCTTTGAGCAGGGGGTTGGACTAGATGACCTCTGGAGTCCCTTCCAACCCTAATCTTCTTTGATTCTATGACAAGAACCAACTAGAACTAAGCTAGATGATAAGCAGCAGGAACATCATACTGACACGGAACTATTGTTATTCAAGTTGCTTCTTTAGAATTTCACTAAATTTTCTGGATTGTTTTACATTGGACAGACCATATATAGGAGGGCAAAATGGAGTGGGGGTGGGATTGCCCAAGTAGTGGAATTTTTGAGAGTAAGATTTTATGCATGTGATTATCTACTCTGCAAACATTCATGTCCACGTACGTTGGCTCTGAAGAGAAATGTTCGGAGATGAATAAAACTGCCAGTTATAAATATTTTGCCAGCTCTCACTCACGTGCTTCTTAGATCATAGAATATCAGGGTTGGAATCAGTCTAGATCCATCCTCTTTGGAACCCCCTTTCAGGTAGCTGAAAGCAGCTATCAAATTTCCCCTCATTCTCCTCTTCTGCAGACTAAACAATCCCAGTTCCCTCAGCCTCTCCTCATAAGTCTTGTGCTGCAGTCCCCTAATTATTTTTGCTGCCCTCCGCTGGACTCTTTCCAAATTTTCCACATCCTTCTTGTAGTGTGGGGCCTAAAACTGGATACAGTACTCCAGATGAGGCCTCACTAATGTTGAATAGAGGGGAATGATCACGTTCCTCGATCTGCTGGCAATGCCCCTACTTATACAGCCCAAAATGTCGTTAGCCTTCTTGGCAACAAGAGCACGCTGTTGACTCATATCCAGCTTCTCATCCACCATAACTCCTAGGCCCTTTTCTGCAGAACTGCTGCCTAGCCATTTGGTCCCTAGTCTGTAGCAGTGCATGGGATTCTTCCATCCTAAGTGCAAGACTCTGCACTTGTCCTTGTTGAACCTCATCAGGTTTCTTTTGGCCAAATCCTCTGATTTGTCTAGGTCCCTCTGTATCCTATCCCTGCCCTCCAGCGTATCAACCACTCTTCCCAGTTTAGGGTCATCTGCAAACTTGCTGAGGGTGCAAGTCCACGCCATCCTCCAGATCATTAATGAAGATATTGAACAAAACTGGCCTTAGGACCGACCCTTGTCCATAGCCACGTGATTTCATGTATCGAGATACGTAGTAAGCTATGTAGGTAGAAGAGAGTCACCACATCGGAGGACTTAGGGCCAGATTTTCTAGCCAGTTTACTACCCCTTTGTGCAACTGAGAAAGAGCAAAAGGGCTGCAATTCCATTGCCAATGCCCAGATAGAATTTCCCTGGCATAGAGGAACCCTCTGCTTGCCCATCTACACTGCCGCCAGGCACTGCGCCTCTCTCACGCCCAGTCTCCCTTTCCCAGCGAAGGGGGTGCACCAGCGCTCTACTATAATAATACTCCACTGGCATAGGGTCCATCAGGGACCACAAACCAGTGGCAGACTTTAATGCTGCCTGGCAGTAGCTTTAGTTTGTGTCAGACGAGGGCTGGCCAGAGAATCAGAGAGCTGGAACCAGCTCCCTGACATCCTCCCACCCCAACCCCAACATGCTTACAGATGACATACAACTTTTAATCTTGTCTGCCTCTGCATAGCTCCCATCTAAGAGGTATTTTTAAAAATAACTGTGTATATTCAATGTATTTGTAGGGAAGTGCTACATTTCAATTAAATAGGTTAAAGTTTAGAAACTGTTTTATACCATATATATTTTTTTGTTTAAAAAAAGGTTTTCTACTGACCGAGCTGTGCCCAGAGAGAGTTATAAGGATGCGATTTTGCCAGCAGGTTTACAGATTGTAATGTGCCTTTCTCAGAGAAGGCCTTTATGGGAGGATGGTCAACTGGCATTACAGTTGGGACCCACGCCAGGTGATAGGTCAGCACCGCAGTCAATAAAGCAGCTAAGAACCTAAAGAGAAAGAATAAAACAAAAATAAGATCCCAGAAAAAAAAAAAAAAAGATAAAGGTATTCCACCTATGCTCATGTCTGCGTGCTTCCTATTATGCTTGTAAGCATTAGAAAACAAGTTACTGTGTATGTAAGGGGATGATGCAGAAGGAAGCATACTGGTTTTTGTTGATCTGTTCTATCAGAAGTGTAAATTCCTTAAGAAAGCGCTGGCATAACTGGTTCTTTTCCAAAGTGCTGGACATCATGGTAAGCCACACAGGTTCTGCGATCCTTGGAACGGAATACAGGTTCCAGATTGTAAGTCTACCAAAAGAAAGAAAAAAAATAAGCTGTTAACCTGTGAATGAGGTTGCAAAAATATATAGAAGAAAAAATAAACAGTTTTCTTCAATCTCTTTTATAACATCTGTTAGGAGTTCTAATAGTTATGTAGGTTCTGTGCAGCTAGTTAGAGGCTCCACTCACATAATGAGAGGTGTTCGGTAGGACACTAAATTATATGAGATGTACCATAAGTGCGTTAACAATATTCTAATCAATACAATTGCAATTTCCTTGACAAAGAAAGTATTCCTCTGAGCATGCAAGGAGGATATGAAATTCATCTCAACACAAACTAAACAGTTGGACTAAACATTATAATGTTTTAATGAATCAAAATGTATTGCTGCATCAAGTTCAATAGGTTAGTTTTACCCAGTAATTGCTTCACATACAATCAACATTTATTTCATAATACTTTCCGGTATATTGTGTAATCAAAGGATGCAAATTGAGACTCTAGGAGCACCTTTAAGACTGAAGAACTATGCTGCAAAAGTTTAACTCTGAATGAAATCTGCAGCTCAACTCATCATCCTGGCTATGCAACAACCAGTCAGGTGCTTTACCACCTGAGTAAATATGCCCAGATGATTAGTCAATACATTGATCATGCAGTTTTAGAAGTGTGATCTTAGACATACAATGATTTGATGGGTAGCCTGATATCAAAACACAAACCCATCACATATGGCCACCATCTCCAATAACGGCTGTTAGTATACCTCTAATTTAATTCCAAACAGATTTGCATTATCCACAGTTAAATTTCTAGCTGAAGAGATTATTGGCTTCTACACATTTAAAAGTTTTGTACAAATAATCTTCACAAGTTAGCAAGTTCAGAAATAGCCCTAGTATAGTGGAAAGTTTGGGGCTTTCCAGATCATCTAGTTAAATTTTCTGTTGTTTTATGGGTGATTAGTGCATGAAAATTAACAACAAAACGTTCTGTCCACTTTACATTTCAAAATCTACCATTTACTAGAGCAATCTAGCGGTGTGTCCCCAAGCAATTACTTGCATATACATACAGTGTAAACATACAATTCAATTTGTGTGTGTCAAGTTTCTTTCCTTGGATGTTTGTATAAGTTGATTTTACCTTTGATCTCTGGTTATTTATGCCCATTTTAGGTTGTCTGTATACAATTTACTTTTTCAAATTTGCTAAAAACATTTTTTCTCTGGTGATAAGAAGAGTTAGTTTTCTTAAGCATGTTATTTAAAACATGCTCTGGTGTGGTATGAATGGCCTCAGTTTGGTCTCTTGCCTCTGGGGCTAAACAGCGTGTGAAGGCTGATTTTTTAAGGCTCGTTATTCTTCAGTGATCATTCCGCAAAAGTTACAAAAGGCTTAGATCCAAGCCATTGTAGCTACAGTACTCCATTATCTACATTGTGTATGTTTTAAAATGTATATTGTTTTAAACTTCATATCATTTTTTCCTTTGCACTGTATACTATCTTGCCAACTGTAGACAGGAAGTGTATCGATGCTACAAGAGAAGCAAAGGGTGAGGGGTACGGAGGGAAGAAGAGGAGAGCTTGAAGAGGAGAGCTTGGGGGAAAAAAAACTAGTGGCATAAGACAGCAAAAATTGATACAATAGGAAAATATTATATTGGGGAAAAAGTCAAATCTAAGTCATAAAAATCAAGTCCGTGGTGTAACACTCATATTTTACAGTTACATACTAAGAACTACCTTAAAAGAACATTAAGATCGAAAAGTCAAGCACTCAAAGAGTTAGAAAATGCCAGAATTAAGGTTGCAAGTAGGCCTTAATTGGACTTCCATAAGTATATGAATTACGATACAGTCTTTAATTACATGATCATATACTATTGTTCCACTGGACCCTAGCCTTCTTCAGTGCACAGAGTAGATGTTGCTCACTTAATGATATTCAGTATTTTGTTTTGTCCTGATTCAATGGCCTGATTTTCTGTATGCTATTCTAACCCTGCTCTATTATTATCAGAACTATTCGTTTCCTGAGGAGCTATTCTACGGTGATTTTCAGTTTAGTATGAGTGCTTCACAACATTGACTTATTTTCACAAATTCTATAGCAAGGTCATTTTTTCAGTCAGCATGCCTAGTGGTCGGGGCCTATGACCCTCTCTCACTTCAAGTGTGTCCTGAACCCCTTGGATGGGGTTCAGCTATGTCAGCTTCCTTGCTGGTAACTCCTGGTCCTGCCCATTGCAGGGTAGGCACAGGGGATCCTGACCCAGGATCCTCAGAGTGTGATAGCATGGGATGGCCTAGGTTCAGCCCACTTCCTGCTCATCTGCTCCTGGGCCATTTCCCACACACCGGATGCCTCAGTTTGGGGCATGGCTGTCACTGAGTTACAACACTTTGCTTCCAACCCCAAAGTCTGGGGGCTTATGCAGGTGACTCTCTGGTTCCTGTGTACATGGTTCTCCATACCTCTGGGGTGATGTCTCCACGAGCAAGAGGGAGACTCACAGCCAGACCTTCTCATTAATGTTTTTTTCCCCCTACTGTTGCAGGGTAGTCCTCCTCCAGAAAATGGCTTCTCTCCTTCCCCCTTGCTTGGGCTGCTAAAGCTCTTTTTATACTGCTCCTTTCCCCAGGCAGTGCCTGAGGGTCAGAGCTTTCCCAGCCCAGTACAGCTCGTGTCCTTCCCCTGCCTTAGTGTGGCGTTTATAAACTCCATCACACCCTGTGAGGCTAGGGATCAGTATTCTTCCCCATTTTACAGATGGGGAACTGAGGCACAGAGAGTTTAAGGTCAAAAGTACCCCCTAGTTTTGGGTGTTCAATTTGAGACACCTAAAATGTGATTTTTCACAATACTTAGCATGATATAGCAGTGTGTTCAAAGCACAGCTCCTGCTGACTTCACTTGTAGATTTGAGTGCTCAGCACACTTCTACACATCAGTCCACAGGCGAGTGAGTCAGGCACCCAAAATATGAGGTACACACAATTAGTGACCACCTGTGAAAAGTTGGTTCAAGTAGCTTTCTTGCATCACACAAGAACTCTGTGGCCCAGGCAGGAGTAGAATCTAATCCTGCAGGCAGCACTCAACTGCCTTAACCATGAGATTGTCCTTTTTGTTCCTGCCTGCCACCCCCCACCTCTGCCACTACACACCTTCCAACAAGCAGGTGTCCTATTGGCAACACACTCCTTTATTATATGATCCTGATTCATTCCCAGAGCACAGTCCATGCTGAGTTTTAAATGAGGCAGAGGTCTTGAAGAAATAGTAGTTTGTGATCATTCTGTTAAAAAGACTATCCTCATATGTGCAAGGGGACCAGATTAAGATTAAATGGGTCTCTAGGGCATCAGTTTGGATCTTTAGAGCCACAAAACAGACCTATACCACTTAAACTAATAAAGTAACTGATAGCAGTAATAGGCTGTTATCCTCTGTGTGGACAAGCGGCTAGAGGGGGATCAGACACACACTTTGCATGTGGATTTCACAACTATCTGCTGACAGCAGAGGGTTGTTAGACTCATGACTCCTGGGTTCAATTGGAGGAGAGTGTTCTCTAATGGTTATAGACCCTTCTCCCCTGTGCCCCCAGCCTGTCTGTCTTCCTCTGCTCCTATCCATCCTCCAACTTATCACCTCAACTCCCACCCTCCAACTCCTGCCTCCCTCCTTCCACCTCTGCATTCCAGTCAGGTGTTCTCCTGCCTCTCTTCCTCACCTGGTTGCTGAAGGACTGAAGTGGGGGGACCAAGGGAGGGGCATTGAGAGCACAGGAAACAGTCTCCCCGCTATCCGACACCACAGCTGCTTTTCGCAGCCTGGGGGAGCAATTGCAGGGAAAGTCTTAATCAGTCTGTGGGCTGAAGCATGCTCCTTTGCTCTGTGGGGATGGTGCACATGCAGTCCAATCGGCAGGTACAAGCCACGAGGAGAGATTAGCTACTAGATTAGTAAATCTCTTTGAACATGTGTGAACTGAGATTTTTCAGAGACTTATAGCAGGGCCACATTTGGGTGGATTTTCACAGGGATGGCAAAAGGCATCACCCCTCTGCCAAATTTCAAGTACCTGAGTCAAAACAGGGAAGCATTCAAGTTTCTCAACACAGCAGCTGTAAGAATTTTTTAAATATAGGAATACAGTGCATTTTCCCCTACTGTCATTCTCAGAAATGGCTGAACCATTTTTGCTGAAGTTTACCACCTGAGGCAGACACCTAACTTGGAAAAATTTAGCCCAAATGATTAGTTTGGCAAAGTTATTGAAAAAACAGGGTCTTAACAGGAAATACCAGGTGACCTTAACTTCCTCCTATAATACAATGTAATAACAGCTCACCTGAATTCTCCCAGGGCATCCATGACACGGCTGATATAAACCTGTACTCTTAGGCTGGATTCTGCTATTTTTCTACAGAGGATCATGGCCTTGAACAATAAAAAGTGACATCTTAAAGAATGCAAAATAGTTTATATCATCTTTATAGGCTCATCAACATTTTTGAACTGATTAACAGACACTGTGGCTCTAGCCCCGATGTTATGTGGCCACTTAGGATAGCAAGAGCTGCCCACATCCCCATGTGTGACTGCGTAGGACCAATCTAGGACATGTGATCAGGTGCATGGGGGGGGAGGAGAGCAAGGGCTGTACACCAGATACTCTCCTCCCCGCCAGCCCTTTCAAAGCAAGCATGCACGCACTCTCCCATAATGCATCAACCAGTTGAAAAATCATCTAAATGGGAGAAGAGGATCATCTGCACCCCCAAATCCTCCTTCCAATGCAAAGAGAACCCAGGGAGGGACTGTGGTCCCAAGGCACAACTTTTTCCAATGCAGTTAGTAAGGCAGAGAAGCTATGGGTTACCCCCCCATGCAGGGCTCAGTCTGCAAGTTGGCTTCACCCCCTGATTATTTATGCCTTTCTAGGCTCTAGAGTATTCCATCCCTGCTTAGTGCTTATTGTTCAGACTCCACTAAATAGCATTCTGTACCTTTTCAATTGCACTCTTTAACTTGTTCATATGGGATTCAAATAGAGGGAAGTGAGAGAAAAAGAAGTCCTGGAAGTGCCTCTGTGCGTCTTCTCTTTCAGGCAGGGAGAAAATTACACTGATGGCAATTTTTTTCCTCCGAATCACTGCAGGATTGGAACTGCAGCTTTCATCAGCCATGCTAAAAGTCTCTTCGGTGGACCTGCAATGAGATAAATGGTAGGCCAGTTACCCTGTGCGTTTCCTACATTTGTATACAATGCATAGCGCTGTATGTTAGCAAGAGATTCTAACTATACCTCCAAGTCTCCTTCAATGCCCTGCAAAAATTTTGCCCCCGCTTACTCCCCTCCTTAAAAATGTCACTCACTCACAGGTAGCAGAATGTTCTCAGTGGCACAACTCAAACTACAGAACCCTTTGCTAGAATGCAAGCCACCTTTTCATTAAAACTTTCCTCTAGGAATAGCACCCATAAACAGAGCCCCTGAAAACACTTCTGTGTGGGTATTTCTGACTGACATCACCATCATATCCAAATGCCTTATAAGAATTAATACATTTATCATAATATCTCCGTGTGGTAGAGGCTATTATTGCCATTTTACAGATGGGCAATGAAAGCACGCGGCACATTAAATAACTTTCCAAATATTACAAAGGAAGTCTGTGGCAGATCTGGAAAATGAATCCTGGTCAGCTGAGTCCCAGTTCAGCTCCGTAATCGCAAGACCATCTTATCACTGAATTCACACAATCCTGTTCATGGCAGAATTCAGAAAATTTGTTATTTGTACAGTGATTAAGTATCTACTCCAATGAGCTTACTAACTGAGAAAAAAAGACTTTATTGAAGACAAATCACCACCACTTTGATACCTGACTCAAGTCAAGTATCTTGATATAAAATACTAGTGGAGACAACACACTCATTCCCCCCCCCCCCTTGATGTAGCTAGTTGGTAAGCCATAAGTGTGTAGGGATGTTGTGTTGACCTCAATTACCTAAACCAAGGTAAAAACTGCATGGGCCTTATCTCCGCTAGGTTATGACATCAGGATAGCTCTCTCAAAGGGAAAAAAAACAAAAACAAAAAAAAAACCAACAACACTTTTTTTTCCAGTGACAACATAGCATTGTTTTGTGTAGTACTAAACAGGACCAAGTTAAACAGGTCATTTAGCTACTTTCACTCTCCCACTCCTACCAGTCCTCTCTGTTCCCTTTCTATCTTATGGCAGCATCCCCGAGTTTCAAGGAGTAATTTTAAATCACTTAAGAGCCTTGCTTACTGCTCCAATCAGCCAAAAACTAAGTCATGGCAACTGCACAAAGTAATCTCAATAGAAACCACAGAAATATATGGCGGAATAGGACAGGACCTCTTAGCCTGTAAGGTATGACCCAGAAGCCAGTCATGGGTTGTCCCCTCCTGATTGGGTTGTGCTATCCTTAACTTCTAAGCACCATTTCTCTAGCATTGGCAGTTCCATGGTGTCAATGAGTACAGTATGCAGTACCAGGCATTTGATCAAGAGTGAGAGACAAGTCATCAGAAAGTGTTTGGAGCCAGAGATCAAGAAACTTATGGTCCATGATGAAAACCATCTAGCTTTTGACTTTACATATACTTAGGGGTCTGACTGGAAAAAATAAGTAGTGGTTATCTCTGACGCTCGGCTACTCAACACCAAAATGAGACAATGCTTACAATAGAGTGTATAGACCTTCATAAAATTGTTTAATTTCCTGCAAGCTAGGATCAGCAGTGGAATAGTTAACCATGCTGACATTGTTTTTAGGGTTAACGTCCTATCACGATGAGAAAGTTCACAAGTGCCAGACCTATGGCAGATACAGGCAGACAGTTGAACTCTGTTTACATTTTGATGGTTATTGTCTCAGCCATAAAGACTAGAGAACCTATTTAAGGGGAAATTTTGATTCCACAGCACAAGATGGAGATGACAAGAAGAGATGAAATAAGCACCCAGTGGTAGCTGCTCCTTTGCAGGCCAGTCTGATCCCTACATTTACTAACCACAATGAATTTCTAAAGGCATTGTGACTATGTCTACCCTGCAATAAGACACCAAAATACCTCATAATGAACATGCCAGGAAGCCAGTAGAGTTTTTGGAGGCTATTAACGACCATAAACCAAAAAACAGTGCTTTTCAAAAAGCTACTTCTGTCTCAGAAATACAGTATAGAATGCCTTTATGGCTTTTTTTTTTTAAATAGACTATTACAACACAGCGTCATGTAACTGGCAAGGTATTTGTCCTACCATACATTACCAAATGTCACTGAAGTCATGTTTCAGTGTGGCAAGGAGGGAATAATCTTGCATAGTTTAAATGCACCCAATATCCAATAGTGCTGCCAAATGCCAAAGGATTGTCAGAAAACCACATCAGAAAATACAGATATTTGCAATGCAACTCTGAGTCTACTGATGTTGCTGGCTTTGGAAAAGTTATTGCAATTAACTGAACTAAAAGAATGTTTCAGAGGGTATATTATTGTGCCAATCTCTAAAAATACTACTGGTAAATTTGTAGCATTTTCATTTTTTTTAAAAAAAGGAAAGCATTACATAGATGTTGTTCAATCTATACAGACTGCACTTCAGTTGCAACAAGCAAAAAGCTGGCTATTTGAACTAAGGTCTGTGTATTTTTGAAAACTCATTCTAAGCAGAAACTGTTTTCTGGCTGATCTAGTCAATGAGTTGAATATACTAAATTTGTCACCACAGAGGCACTAAAGAGAAAACTGAGCTTGTGGGAAACAAGAGCTCAAGATGATACCATAACCTCCTTTGAACTCCTTAGTAACTTTAGTGCAAAGATAGAAATTCCCATGAACTTTGTGAAAGGGACAGTAAATCAACATATAAGGAACATCGCAAACGGAGTTCTTGTATAGTTTCCTATAGTTTGAGATTGAGAAACAGAAGTCTGACTAAAACAACAAGGAATACTAACACGGCTACCGCTCTGACTGTGAGAACTCTTTTCAACAAAGCTGCTAATTGTGCTTGACTGACAAGTAACCGTATGGAGCTGCAGACAGAAGGTCTATTTTCTTTGGGAAGCTGGTCTAAAGATCAGTCAGATGCTGTGCAGTTTTGGCTGTATGAATTAAAGCACAGATTGAGATCAATAGCAAAAATCCGTTGTTTCAACGGTACTTGATTGTTTGACCAAATGAACCTTTGAACATAGCAACACCTGTAATGCCTGACAGCCTAACTATGGATCTAAAATACCTTTGTGCAATTTCCTTCTCTACTATGGCTGTGATGAAAGCAAATGCACAGAAGTCATTTACCTCTGGAGAAAGATTTGACGCTGCATACTGCAAATATTACACCAAGAACAGAGAAAATAATGTTCAGCAAGCAGACATAAATTCTGTCTTTAGGGATAAGAAGTTAACCACTTTCAGTTACAAAAACACTGAAATATATTTGAGAATGAACTTTTTTTTAAAATGCCTCTTTAAATGAGATTTTAATTAAAGGATATTTTTTTACACTAACTTAACTGATCACTATAAGATGATCTAAATTGAACACAATTTAATTAGCTAACCAATGCCTTGTGCTTTGTCTAAAAGGTATTCCATTAGTTTTTGAACTTGAGGTCACTTTCATATGGTGGGTTTCAGGATAATTTCTTTGGCCCACAGACCAAAAGAACGCCAAAATATCTGTCTGTAGCAATGATTAATGGAACAGAGATATGGGGCATGGAAATGGTTCTTCCAAAGTGTTTGTAGGGCACTTAGCCTGTTTAATTTGTATATTTATTAAGACAACCTGTGACCCATTGGCCAAGTATCCCTTCCAATGGTAAAAGCCACAGAGGGGGCTTTTCATGTGGGAAATCTGTACATAGAATCTCTGTAAGAGAATCAACTATGTCATCTCATTGGGGAGAAGTGGGCTTTGCATCTCCTTGATGAAGGCTACAGGAGCACTTGCATAAGCCTGGAAAACCCTCAGAATCCACAAGAGGACAGGGTTATCAACCTCTAGCACCTCCAGCTCCTTGGCAGTGGCTGACCCCAGCTTCCCTGAAAATATATTACAGCATTAAGTTGGATAACCTTTTCCAGGTAACTTCCACCACACTGGAGGGCAAGGTGAGAGAATGAAAGCCAATTCCCAAAGCCTGCATCAACTCCGTACTGTTCCTAATCTGCACAGAGAGGGATCCACTGGCGTCAGGCCTATGAGCATGCATGCATATATGCAGGTCCATTTGTGAGGGAGGGAGGTAGCTGAGAGGCATTCCTTATCTTGCTATGAAGAAGCAAGACTGTCTATAAGCCAAGTCTTGATGAACCCCATAACGTTTTCGTCAGACCAGTGGCAAATGTATTGAAGTTATTATAGCCAAGCTTTTGGCTTTTGTTTTTGGGTCATAGCTTTCCCCTCCCCCCCCCCCCCCCAAGTTGTGCCAAAATCACTGCTTGAGGCATCCTGTACATGCCAAGAGAGTTGTCATAGTCTATTGCACCAAAGTTTTGTTAACAAACTGGTTAGTGACTAGTTATAGTAGAATATAATTGTGCACTAATGATGTTACATTCTCCCGCATGTCAGTAGGTAGCTCCATTCGTTCTTCCAGTAACAGCTGAGAGTTTAATTTTCTTGTTTGAATGGGTGCCTCAGAAATAAATGATAATCCTTCATTTGAAATGTGTTCATTTTCAACCTCATTTTGTAGTCATTCATTTGTAATAATCTTAAGCAACACTTAACACTAGTATGTAGGAGAGATCAGACTGTTACTAGGAAAAAAAATGTTAAATTGACTTGCCCCTTTAAGAACAGAGGTTTGGCCAATTTTAGCAAATGCAGCCCAATTATTATTGTATTCCAGCAGGGAGAAGCTCACAACACTCACCACCTTGGAATAATTCCATTTTCTAAACTTGTTGTTTGACTTCGGAGCCAGCGGCGCTGGTAGCTACTGGAAGAGGAGGATGAGGAGCTTGGTGATGGGAATGGTGTAATCAAGAGACTACTCAGAGATGCTGTCAAGAAAACACACACATGGACATTTTGTAGGGTGCTGATTAAACAAAAACACTTTTCCCTTTGGCCAGGTTAACATGAATATAATTTTTGCCTATTGATTTTCTCATTTTTTTAAAAAACAGTAGCTTTCCTTTCTGTCTGACTCATTCCCAGCACGTGAAACCATAATTATTTGAATTATTCTTGCTGCCTTAACATAGAAGACGGCTTTTTTCTTAACAGCACCAGAATGTTATATGTAGTGGAGACTAGACTGATGGCATCTCTCTCCTCTGTGCTGGCTTTGTACTCTTAGGACAGATTGCTTCAGAGGAGATGTTGCCAGTCATGACAGGCAGGCCAACCTCTACCCACTGCTTTTCCACCCACTGAGCAAAAAATCTTCTCCCCTCTTTTCTTTAGTGGAAATGCTACTGTTGATTTCTTCCCTAGCTTATACATTTATATTACTGAAGTACTACATCGATGAGAACCAAATGAGTTAATGATGTAAAGGCAGAGTATCACAAGACATCCCCTTTCTTACTGATTTGTAGGGGAGAAGGGGAAGAGTATGTCCTAGCAGCAGAGCTGATGAGCAGAAACCTAGTTTATAGGGAAGGGAACTGCTCAACAGATCCACAAGTTCGTGCGGATGTGTTATAAGCAGCCATATCCAAACTCCACCCCACTGGTTGGGCGTAACCTGAATCTGTTGAATCACTGTGCTAAAAAGCTTTGCTTTCATCAAATGGGAGAAAAAGAAACGCAGATACCTGACCGAGCAATGCCGCTGTCTCTGTCCTCATTTTGCCCTCTGCTAGGCATATCAACGGGGGTGCTATGTGCTAAAGTAAACAGATCAGATCAACAGAAAACATTACATGCTGCCTCATATTGTCAGTGTTAAGCAAAGTTTATGTTTAAAGGCCACACAACAGCAAAGTCACATCCAGTGCAATTAATTTAAGCAATAGCTATGTCCACACTGTGTAAAAAATAGTCAGTGTTTGAAGAGGTGATAGCACGCAATATTTCAATACTGAACACTACTAGTGGAATTGCCTTTTTTATTTTAGACTAAAATACCTTCTAAGTACCTGTAGGAATCTGAACATTAATTTATATACACTGAAAAAGTCATACAGCTGAGAATCAGCCCCATGAAAGTGTCTCAGGTGGAGTACCCAAAAATGGGAGCACCCAAAATCTCTAGTCACATTAGAAAATCCTGATTTAGTTTATTTTTGTAGCATCACTGGCATTGAACAGGCTAACAATACTTTATATGGAGCATCAGTTTCAGTTGTTTTTAAATTAACCACTATGCTTGCTTTATAGCATGAAGCAAAAACTCAATCCAGTGTAGATCACCAGTAAGTGTTAGTAGCATATATTCACTTAACTTATGAAGCATGCAAGATTTGTGAGGGAAGTGAAGTAACTTTTCATGTTTGCAATCAACAGGATCAGTTAGATCCAAGGTTTCCCCAACAGCATAAGTAATCATCAGGCCTGTAAAAGGATCTTTTCATATGTAAAGTAGACTAAATGCTACTTTCGAATTTAAGATAAAGCCTTTAATATTGTAAAATCAAAAAACTTAACCACTCCCAGACTCAGTTCAATAATGTCTTAAAAGCGTTGCCATTAAGTGAAAAAAATCCACAGGTCAAAAGATATGGGAGGAAAGCAAAGAGGGAAAGAAGCAAAAGGGAACTGCACACCAGCAAGAGATCAAATGTAGACCAGGAAATATAAATCCTCTTAGAAACATAAGGGCTCATTTATTATTGAATACACATTACATTAGGAAGTTTCCTTAATGTGAACATTTGTGGTAGAGGTGGGAGGGAAGAATAGGAAGCAATTTAATGCAGCCTGGTATTTCAAGGCGGCTTGAGTCAAAATATAAAGCCAATATGTGCCTATCATCAATATCTTCATCACTTTAGCCCTTTGTTTCTAGAGTGTAATTATGGCTCTCCTGACAAGATTCAGAAGAAGCTGGATTACTGTGGGTGGGTGGGTGGGTCATACTGTGCTCAGCATTCCACACAAACCTGCAAAGAAAGAAGCACTCCGGATGAGCCGGAGGGGAACTCCTTCAGACACACCCTGCAGCACTTTGCTGCTACACAGCTGTAACACACCTAAAAACAGCAACGCAGAGAGAGCGCAAGACAAAAAAAAAAAAACCACAATTAAAGACAATGCAGGGGAAAATAATTTAAAAGAAAGAAAAACAAAAACAGATGGCCTCATCAAGAAAAGATTATTTTTTTAAAATAAAATAAAAAAATATTTACCTAGATTACTTCCACTACGGCAGGTCCCCAAACCATTTTGATTAGAGCTTAATTTTCCCAGACTGGGATCTTGGTTGATGTATTCAAAGCTATCTTGCAAGCTAAAAAGGGATAAATATCAAAATTTCTAAGAAGGGGAATAGAATGGCTTCCACTATCATCAAACTACACTCTGTTTATTTGCTTTGTTACATAAATCTAACTTTACCACCAAGCTTAAAGATTAGCAGATATTCCTATATTGTAACAGATATTTATAATGGAAAATAGATTGTGGAGGACTGTAAACTTTAAGACTGTACCTTTCAGAATTAACTAACTTTCCATGTTTGATCTCTGCCCACAGTGATTTTGAGGGGTAGAGGGGAATTGAGCAAAATCACATCAGCAATTTTTGAAGGGCGGGAGGGGGAAGAAAGAGAGAGAGAGAGAAGTAGAAAAATATATGCACACCTTCATTATATTAAAAAGGCAACCTTGTTGGCAGTGGGAACTTGTCACTAAAGATAGAAACCCAAAACCTTTGAATGTTTTTACAGGCCTCTAAACTTTGAGTTTCAACCACTGCTCATCCAGAGCACACTTAAAGAGTCAAAGGGTACATCTACGCAGCAATTAAACATCCATTGCTGGCCTGGGTCATCGGACTCTGGTATATTGGGCTTGGGGACTGTAAAATTGCTGTGAAGATGTCCAGGCTTGTCTTGGAGCCCAAGCTCTAGGACCCCACAAGGCGGGGGGTGGGGTGTGTGTGTGTGTGTGGGTGTCCCATAACCTGGGCTCCAGCCTAACCATCTACACTGCAATTTTTAGCCCTGCAGCCCAAACCGCACAAGCCCAAGTCAGCTGACCTGGGCCAGCTGCTGCCATGCTGTAAGTCATTTATTCCAGTGTAGATGGACCCTGAACGATCCCATTCCTCTCTAGCCTTCGTGGGACAGCTAGAGCTCAGCATGTGAATACTGCTCATAAACAGTCTCACTCTCTCCCCCTTTCACTCACTGCCAGCAGACATTTGGGCATTTGGTTTTATGAGCTTTCCAGTTTTATATAGACCAACCTTAGGAGCAGACACAGAAGAAATCTAAAATGAGAGTGAGAAATGACAGGAAACAACCAAACTTACTTATTTGTGCTTTCACTGAAGCTTCCCACTCTGGCTGAGAAAACTTTACTTATCATAAGCTGCGGAGGAGAGCTGAAAGGATAAACAATCATCATCTCAGTGACTCAACAGTTCCAATACCAATACCTTCTCCATCCCCATTTCCAAGCATTTGGCAATATGGATAATCCTAGAAGAGGAAATTCACTTACCGTATGTAGTGGATTTTCAAGGTAGAACCTTTGTAACTCATTGCCACTGAGCCAAACATCATTTCTCCAAGCATGTTGACATCAGAGGCTGGTCTAGTGTACTATAGATAAGTAAGGGGAAAAAGGCCAGTCATAACCATTGTATTATTTTAGTGTGGTGCTCAGTAGTACTAAATTTTGAACGTGAAGTACAAGTTATCTCTGCTTCCCAGTGAAGATCAGCATATACCAAGTGGTGTTTGTGCAATGCGTACTGTGACAGGTTCGGGCCAGATGGCTACAGGAGAGTGATCCTATTGGGATCCAGGAAGTGGGTACAGGAGAGTGATAGAAGGCAGATATATTAGCCTCAGATTAAGCAGGTCCCTTTTCCCTGGGTAAGGTAACAGGAGTGGTTTCAGAACAATCAGGAACTTGCTGGAACCAATTAAGGCAGGCAGGCAGGCTAATCAGGACAAAAAAAGGTTTAAAAAGGACCTCACTTCAGTCAGTGAGGGCCACGCAAGTAGCTGAGAATGAGAGGGTGTGCTGCTGGAGAACTAAGGAGTACAAACGCTATCTGGCATTAGGAGGAAGGTCCTCTGGGAGGCAGCCATGGGGAAGTAGCCCAGGGAGTTATAGCTGTCACACAGGTGTTACAGGAAACACTGTAGACAGCTGTGATCCACAGGGCCCTGGGCTGGAATCCAGAGTAAAGGGCAGGTCCAGATTCCCCCCATCCCCTCAACTCCCTATTGGATACAAGAGGAATTGATCTGGACTGTGGGTCCCACCAGAGGGGAAGTTCCCTGGCCTGTCCCCTGACCTACGAGGTGGATCAGCAGAAACTGCGGGGATTGTTCTCCTTCCTTTTCCCCATGCTGGTCAGCGATGAGGTTAGCTGAGTGAATGGCAGGTTTGAGCCAGTTTAGCCACTTTTGCAACAAACAAAACAAAACAAAACACTGAGGGCTGCCGTGAATCTCTGAGGCGAGCAAATCCGCCAATAAGCGCAGGATCCACCAAGGTAGAGGAGGAACTTTGTCACTAGTTCCTATTTGCACCAACTCTCTCAAAGATATGCAATGAAGAAACTCATGCAGTCTCTGCAGCTGAGCCAGACACAAGTAATTTTATATCTCCCAGCCACATTTCTTTATTGTAGGATGTTGCTTAAGAAAGACTGAAGCATTGCAGGTCTGAAGAGTCTGGACCCTTAGGTGTTGTTACTTTTAAATTTAAAAATCCTTCCCGGTCTAAATTAACTCATTTAGATGGCAAGATATACTTGGAATGACAATTTTTAAAAAAGGAAACAAAATAAGTCCTATTTCCTACTACAGTCCAAAGATCTACTACCAGTAAGAGGATAAATTCCTATGTACAAGTTCTCACCACAGTTAAGGTAGTAACTTGCATTTCAACACAAGGATACAATTTCTTAAAACAAACCCAATCCACATGCAGTCTCTCACGTGTCTCTTAGCATAGGACAAAGGTTTGCCTTTTGTGAGGAGATTCACACAAGCGATTTTAGAGAAGCACATAGGAATTTTAAAAAGTAGAACACTCATTTTTCTGAGTCTTGAATGTCCTTTTTTGAAATCAGCACCCGAGAAACTCACATGTGGGCTTTAGGAGACTGGAAAAGTGCATAAAAGCAACAGACCTTGCTCTGTGGAATTAGCTGCCTTGCTCGGACTAAATTTAAAAAATTCAGTTACTAGAGGCACAACCACACTAGAGAGCTTACAGGTGCAGCCATGTCGCTGTAAGCTGTCTAATGTAGCTGCTCTAAGCAAACGGGAGAGAACTCTCCCATTAATTACTCCAGCCCCAGCAGAAAGTTGTGTTGGTGGGAGAAGCTCTCCCGCCGACACAGTACTGTCCACACCAGCACTTATGTTGGTGTAACTCAGGGGGGTGATTTATTCCTCCCCCACCCCGAGTGACATAAGTTATGCCAACATAAGCTGTAGGATAGACATAGCCTCAGTGGCAGGCTTCTAGGGATTTTGCAGGGGGGGGGGGGGCGAGACAAAAAAAACCCACAGGGTACGCACTTTTTAAAGAGAAATTTAACTTTAAAAAGTCACTTACGACTGAAAGCTTTTTTCTAAGCCTATTGTTAAGGTAACACCTAGCCAAAACCAAAGGCTTTCTTTGTGGTTGTACAGAGGACCTGAAAGTATTTAGCCATTTTTTAGAAGCTGACTAGATTTCATATTGACAGGGTCTGTTTAAAATCTTTCCCATAATCAGCTGGGTTCAACAGCTCCTGCAGAAGTTATGAGCATTGGCTCCTGCAATGGAGGACTGAGGGGAAAAAAAAAAACATTTATATTTTTCTAGACCAAGAATGTAAGCACCATAAAGCACTTGCATATTTTTGAAATGTCTAAGTTTAGACTATAACTATTTTATGAAAAAGTTCAGAAATACTGAATTGTGAAATTTTAAAAACTGAACATAGGAACTGCTAAACTTACATAACACCTTAAAAATAAAACACCCCTCCTCCTCAACATGTGGAAGGAAAGAAATACAGTTCAGATCCCCAGCATCAGTTTCATATTTGACATACTACAAATTCTACTTCAACACTTAAACAGACATTTGTGAATTTAACACAAAGTTATCATCTTTATTAATTCAGTGAAAATCTATATATAGATTTGCATCCATGTGTTAACATTACCTGGTACTTTGGAAGCTGTTCCTTGACATGCTGTGTACAGCCCACTGATGGACTATGGGAAGAAATACTATTGGTCCCATTGCTTGCTTGGCAGCACTTGGCAGAAGCCTTTCCTGGAGCATCCTCTACTATTTTCTGTGTCAGAAAAGGTTGATGATGAAAGTAAGTTTAACAAACATGAAGATTTCTGTTTCTAGCGGCACCCCTGTGATCTCAGAAGAGTTTTATTAAGAACATACTGGAGCAAAAAAAATAATTTTGAAAGATTTTATTTGTGGGTTAAAAAAAAAAAATCAATCCAAGTCATGTTAGTAACTTTGGCTTTTCAAGAAAAAGGGAAGTGATGCCCCGGAGAACAGAAGTGTAGGATTATTCTTGAACTTAGTCTACCAATGAATTAAGTTTTTGTTATAGAAATACATGTCACACACAGTATATAAATATTCTGCTTCTTCAGCCATCATGATCCTGGTCAAAGTAATTTGTTACAAATCTATCTACAGCAAATGTTTTTTTTTGTTTCCTGTTTGCATACATTTCATAGAAATCAGGAGTGAGATGCAATCTATAACATAATTTGCTAACATTTATGCAAATAAATCTCATTTTATGAGCCACTTTCTATGGATAGTGTGCGGTCAGTCTCTTAAATTGCATGGTATTGTTTCTGCTTCACAAAATTAACATCAGATTTCTTCAACAGAAGCATAGTGAGAAAAACACAAATAGAGAATAATTGGCAGGAATATTAGGATGAATGATCATTTGCGTAGAAGTTTAAGAATAAACCACAAGCTGCCTGAATATTTAGTGTATAATATTCACCTGTCAATAACTGCATTGCCAACTCCCTGAGTTTACTCTCAAATCACTGTTTGTATTATTTGACTCGCTCTACCTAGGCAGTTTTTACTACAGAAAGACTCTTAACCTTTCAACAATTGCATGCTGTTTACATAGTAACATTGTGGTAAATGTTATCCAAGAAAAGCAGCATTTAGCTTTTTGAATAAAATTAAAAATAGAAGTTCTTGCATGCAGAGTTGCCAATTTAAAACCAATATTTTTTGTTTAAACAACAAACTGACACAAACCCCTTTTAGGTACCCATCAAAAGGGCTAGTTTGCCTAGAATAAATGCTGGCAAAGCATATGTCTGGCTACATCTATGCTAGGAGCGGGGGATGTGAAATATTGTGCTCTCGTAGAAATATCTGCGGTAGCTCTCATCAAGCTAACATGCTAAAAACAGTAGTGTGGCATGAGCAGCAGCATGGACTAACCACCTTGAGTCCATACCCCTCAGGTTCAGGTAGGTTTGTGCTCAGGATGGCTAGACCATGCTGCTGTTTGCTGCCACCCGTGCTGCCCCAACTACACAACTACTTTTAGAGGGCTAGTTTGATGACAGCTAGAGTGGGTATGTCTATATGAGCCGGGAATCAGACGCCCAGCTCCAAGTGTAGACATACTCTTTGAAATTTTTTCATTTTCTTAAACTATTAGCATTGCAATCATGACAAAAGGTCTCAATCTGGACCTCATTGTATTGGACACTATACACAAATACTGAAACAACAATCTTTGGCACAGCATACATTAAAAAAAAAAGCCCAGTGTTGTAACTACATCATTGCACACATGCTTCACTGGTGCAAAGCAGGGTTTAGTGGATTAAGTTGCATCTGTGTAAACTTTGTTTTACACTGATACATTAGGAGTTTGTACTGAAATAGTTATAAAACCAAGAAAATGGGAACTTAAGATGCTCTTGGGTGGGGCTCGGTGAGAGATGGCAGAGACAATCCAGTAGCGCTCTCATAATTCTAGAGAACAGAAATGGGTTTCACTATAGCAGTGGCACAAGCAAGCCCTCTTACTATCAATTATAAAACTAACCAGTCACGTGTAGAGGATTTTGTTGTTTTTTCTACATGGAGCCGACTGGTCTTTCATATTTTACCACATATTTGCATTCCTTTTGTGCAGCTTTTGCTTGGCACTGCATTTATGTAACTGCTGCTTATCTAATTCCCAATGTGACTGTCATTAGGTGGTTATAAATGCACAAATGTTAGTAGTCATGTGCTTGACACAAGCTATTGACAAAAACAGCCTTAATATAAAGTGTTCTGCTCTATGCCACCCACAGGAATAGCTAGAATGAAACACATTAACTATACTACAGCACGATTAACCATACTTTTCAATATCCTTGTTAAATAGAAGATAATCTGCCTAGTTTCCCAGATAAGCAGATTTAAAGGTAAAACTGCCTTAAATCTATCCTATTTGTTTATATGAAGGGGAGAAGCTCCCTAATTCTTTGCTCATTCGGGGCTTGACCCTGTTCCAAACTGAAGTCAAAAGAAGTGTCACATAGACAAATAGCTGCAGGTTTGGGCCCTAGCCTGGAAAATGCCAGTGCTCCAAGTGTTAACTAGGGCATTTCAAACCCATACGTATTTTCTGACTTGCAGTTCTGAATATTTAGCTTTAAGTGGTTATTTCAGTGTCTGGTATGAAAATAAGGTGCTATGTTCTATTTGTTATAGGATATTTTGAAAACACAAAGGAGACTCTCTCGAAGGACAATATTTTAAATGGAGATTTATATTTTATAAATTAACCTTGTTTAAAATGTTTATGTCTTTAAGAGGAGCAAAACATTTTTATATAATTGTAAATACACCTTCCCATTCTTCTAAAGCATATGCAACGTTGTGTAATCAACCCCTTGGATATATAGTACTGACCTTGGTATTGGGGCTCATAACAGAAAAAAAAAAGAATTAATATAGGCTGCTTTGACCTGTTTACCCTCATAAGTAGATGATCAGTCAAGCTCATCATGTGTGCCTTACTAATGTGGGTTAAGCCAACATGTGATACTCGTGCAGCTTAATTTAAATACAGTTTCAGATGGCTGTGTTTAAACTTTTTCATGAGAGCCATTTCCACAAAGCACTGCTATTTAAACTGTACATTATAGCTAGTAATTACACATTGACTGTATCAGTCAACACATTCCAGTCAACAGTATTAGTTGTAATTTGAAATCTATCCAATGAAACTGTTTTATAACAAAATGGAGTTCCAGGGTAGGTCTATGCTTAAAATGCTGCAGCTTTTCCCGTTGGCGTAGTTAATCCACCTGCATGAGAAGCCCTCACATCAACACAGCGCTGTCTACACTGCGGATTAGGTCAGTGAAACTGTGTTGCTCAGGAGTGTGGGTTTTTCAAACCCTTGAGTGATGTATTTATACAAATGTAAATGTATAGTGTAGGCCTCACCTCAGAACTGTAACTGAGTAGAAGAAAAGTACAGCTAACAAGGAAGACATACTGTATCACTTTTGTCTTCTTAATATCAACTGGACATATTCAAATACTGTTTAAGTGTAGCCTTGTAGATCCAGATACTGGCAGAGAGCAAACCACACCTTAATTGTACATTTCCTTGTTTTTGCTGGTTTGTCTCATAACATCCAAATTATGTATTGTCTGCTATTGCTTCAGTCACATGCACATACTCTACAAAAAGTAACAAAAATGGAGTGGTGACAAAAAAAAAAAAAAAAAGTACAGTGACTTCATTGGTTTAACTAAAGAGATCCAAAGGGAAGACAAGTGTATCTGAACACGTGCCAACTCCCAGTGAAATAAGCAGATATCTCTGTGCAACTCGTGCAAGGATTGGGCCTACGAAATGAAAAATGATCAGCTTCAACATATACAAAAATTGTTGATGTCAGAAAAATACTAAATTAAAAAAGGACCAAGTGCATTCAGAAATGCCTATGAGCAGGGCCTACATTGTTTTATATCAGTCACCATATTTTTTTAAAACAGCAGTAAGCTGGAATATGTTATTTTAGGCTTTTCGGATGTAGCTGTAACAGGTGTGTCCTGCAGATTTCAAAAAAGTTTGCACTCACAACAAATGCAGCAAAAACTTCCAAAATAAAATGCAGAAATGAACACTGTCTTTTTAAATTATTTCCATTCGGGGCCAGAGAACAAAAAAGAATCAAAGGACAGAAGCATATTAATGTTTCATACCTGAGCTGCTGCCTCATCAACTTTGCGCACTGCTTTGGAATCAAACAAGACCTGTCTGCCTCTTCTCTCACAATCCTGGTAAACTATCAGGCGGATTTCATTCAAGTCAAACTCCGAACAGGACCAGCTGTGGATTGCAAATACAGTCAGAAGTTATGTTATCTCACCAAAGAGCTAACGGACTTGAATAAGTGAAGGAAGTATGTACTATCAGCTGGATCTTTTGCACAATGGTGGCAGGAACCACAGATGCTGTTGAAATGTCAATGAAGAGGATTTCATGGAAGTGCTGAGTGAGCTGAGCACCCATGTTTTGATAATGAAAAAGCCATGTTACAACCAAGTACATGTAGGGAGGCAGTGCAGTTATAGTGGAAACAGCACAGTCTTCCCTGCAAGGATTTTTAAAATCCCCCTTTATTGACTGCTGTGCTATTTACATATTGTCAAAGCTGAGTTATCCTCATACATTAAAGGAAGACTCTAAAAAGAGGGAAGTCCTTTCAATGCAGTAATGTTTCCTGTGGTATTAAAAAAACCTGAGAGCTGAAAACTATGCCACCAGTACCAAAAGGAAATTAACAGTAAAAACATGAATAAGCCTGAAAACCCAGTGTGACACAGTTCCGAGCCTGTATTGGTGGGTCTCACGCTTCCGGGCAGATTCAGGGTCCTCAGAAGCTCACTAAGGCCCTCAATGTGACCTCCCTTTCTTTGTGTAGTGGCAAAGGTCACAGCTTTATTAAGCTCCTTTCATCACAGGCCAGTGTGGGAAGGGGGGAATACCCCACAGTCTTTGTTGTTCCTTAGAGCTCAGTTGGTGCAGTCCTGCCTAGACCTAGGCCTGCGTCCCCTTTCAGGGGGTTGCTGTAGAGCAAGGGAGTGGGGGGAACCCAGGCCCACCCTCTACTCCCGGTTACAGCCCAGGGACCCTAATAGCAGCAGCTGTTGGCAGCTTCCCCTTCACCACTGGTGCTGCTTTGATTCCCTGGGCCACTTCCCCTTAATCCCCTTTTCCTAGCTGCACCCTTACCTTAGGATTCAGCAACTCTTCCTCTCCTCCAGCTCCTTCTACCTGGGCTCTCTTTAAGGACACTGGAAGGAGAGCTTTTAAGCACTATGAGTGGGACCTTGATTAGTTCCAGCTGTCTCCATTAGCTTAACAGCCTTAACTGACTCTTTGCAGTTAATTGGAGTCAGGTGCCTGCATTAGCCTAACTACCTTAACTGGTTAATTGCAGTCATGTGTCTTGATTGTCCTGGGGTAGCCTTTGTTTGGCTACCCAGGGAACAAGGACCTGCTCATCCTGAGGCTGATACAGATACGTTCTGTTCTGGAACGCCTTGCGTAAGTCGAATTTTGCATAAGTCAGGAAAGTGTACCCGACAATTACGCCAAAAAGTAAAAAAAAGAAGAGCGTACAGAACTTTTTCCGTAAGTGCAGATTTGCGTAAATTGGCTTGCGTAACCCGGGGAGCATCTGTATATTTGCCTTCCACTACTCTTTTATAGCCTTCTGGTCTGAGTCCGTCACACCAGATAGCCACCACATGCACAGGAGCTTTAAACTCCTTTTGGGGAGGGGAGGAGACACCCCAGAAGGCCACAAGTCAAGTACTTAACCGCATGGAGGGAAAAAATGTGAATAAAAGCAACTATGGTTTTGTAATTTAAAAAGATAAATAGCAGTAGTGCAATGGCCACATTGGAAGGTAAAAGTAGACATTTTAAGGTAGAGTCAGAACCCACACTTTTAAAAACAGGACTGAATGTGCATACTTTTACAAATCATGGTTGGGTTCAGCAGGTTTTTCTACTGTGTGCGATCCTTATGTTTGGAGCTTTGCCATCAGAAACGTGGAGGCCCTCAACTGATTGTTGACTGAAATCTAAACTTTTATCTCAAATAAGCATGTGACAATCAAACTATTTTTGTCCAAAGTGCAGTCGAACTAAATATTTGTCTCTATTTAAAACATAGTACCGTAGTAAAGGACCCAAGGTTTTTACCCCACAAAAACCAAAAAATTCCCTCTTCCTTTTGTTCCTTATATTAACATAATAAGGGCCCAGTTTTAAATTCACATGAACTAATAAAATTTCAGGGGTAGATCTTAGAAACTAAGTGAACAAGTTACAACAAACAAACAAACAGCGTTTTCAATAATGCCAGAATGTAAACTAGCTATTTAAATGTACACACATTTGTTATATTCTATAAAAATTACCTGAACCTGTGCATCAGCAACTGATTTTTGTCAAAAATGTAACACTCATTTGAAGACTATACATACATATACCACGATCAGACACAACAACAACTGTGTAGTAGGGTGAAGGAATGCATATGGCTGATGTCTTGGTGTCAGTGCAGTTAAGAACTCTTTGTGCTAGTTGATACGATACCAATAATGAAACCTATGTATAATTAACATGTCTCAGTAATGCTTAAAAACGTGTTAGGCCTCGAATCTGTAAGCTCTGACCGTCAAACCTCTAGAGTTCAAGGAGGTTGCAAACTCTGTGCCCTCAGCCTAGGTTAACCCTCTTACATTAAGAACACACTGTTACAAGCATTCTGATTTCAGAATAAGGTGACCAGATAGCAAATGTGAAAAATCAGGACAGGAGGTGGGTAGGTGGGTAATAGGAGTCTATATAAGAAAAAGACCCCAAAATCAGGACTGTCCCTATAAAATCAGGACATCTTGTCACCCTATTTTAGAATGACTGTTATGGAGACTTACTGCTATTTTATGTTTTTTTCAATGTTCAAATTTCATAAGTGAAAGATTTAAGATTAGAAATATGACACCTTCTTATATTGATTTACTGGTTTGGGACTTCATACAAAAAATCCTACAACTCTACCGGAAGCACAATCCAAGTGTGAATAAAATTAAGTTATCACAGACATGATTGGTTTGTTAAATATGTGAAATCAGAGACTATACTCAATTTAATAAAATCTTTAGAAACAACATGTCATGGATATGTAATATGTTAACACCCTGTTAAACAGAGAGATGAGGACTGTATTGCTGTATATCTCTTTAAACAAAAGTTCACTGCTATAATGATCATGCTTTCCTTTTTGATACATACCTGGCAAGAAATTTGTACAAAGTACAATAATTTCATAACTAAAAAGAGTTAAAAAAAATCACATTGCTTTGCAAATAATTCTCTCTTCAGAGCACTTTTCCCCCTTCACCTTAGTTGGAAGCTTCTCTTCTTTCACTTTCCCCATGCTGTAATTTCTTGTTACATTATTTATGTAGCTTTGACTAAGCTCTTCAGGGCAAGGCATATCTTCTTGTCTGTCAAGCACTAGGCAGTTATGGCATTAATAAATCATAACAGAAAAAAGAATATACAAATTAGAGAAGTTCTGAGACAAGAAACTCATACTGAGTTACGGATGTAAACAAATATCTATTAACATTTGTTGTTTCCCTGACTTTCACTTTTTGAAAGTGAGGAAGACAACCAAAAGAAAGACTACTGCAGTCCAAATCTTCTACATTCAGTAACTTCAACACTAACCTTAGCTATGCTCCATTGATGCAGATTACCGCCGTGCGTCTAACTTTTGGCTAGTGCCCAGACACCCATCATTCAAAACATAACTCAGCATAGCAGCCTGTTAACCTCAAACCCACCTGCTCACCAATCAGAGACTAGAGATTTGACAAGCACCTTCCCCACCCCTTTTTTTGTAGTATAAACCAGAAACCACTTCTACATGCAGTCAACCCAAAACCCTTTTCTAGTCACCCAGTCATGTAGGGTAAATAAGCTATGTAGTTTCTAAAGACCTCATGAAGGCAGGCCTGAGATCATATTTCCCATATCCTACTTTAACCTTAGGCCTCCTAACCTCCACTACTTTCACACATCCTTCCAAAATAGGCTTGGATCTCTAAATAACTGAGGAAGGCTGGAAGAATGGGTGCAGGCTATATCATGCTGTAATAGTCCTCATTTTACATTCATATATTCAAGCAGGGAAGATTTAGTTTCATTCGTTCAGCAAGGGGTGGGATTCTCCCACTAGTAAGGAGGACAGATAAAGCTAATGGAGGAGAGTTAAGGTTGATGCTGGAATCATTCTGATATTAATGTTTCATGAATTGTTTCTTAATCTACAGAAAAACTTGGAAGATAACAAAACAGTCTAATAGTGTTCTAAGTGAAAAGATGTTTACAATCTTAATTTTGTATTAAAAACAGGTTTCAAGTAATAGCATGGTTCTCCTCTGAAAATCCCTCCTTGCAATTTCAACTGGAAGCAGTTTTTTTTCTTCACTCCTCCCCCACCCCCAAACTGTTGTATAATCAAATGCAACAGGGCTTAAACAATCATTGGTGCATCTAATGGGGAGGAAGGTGGGGGGGCGGGGGGAAGAGACATTCCTTCCTAATCTCTCAGGCAGTCAGCCTACACCATAGAGTATGGAGGTTCGATTATCTTTCTTAGGTTACATAATATTTTTCACTTTACATAGCGTAAGAGAGTACATAAATTTTACAGCTCATGTAAGAAGCTGGAATGACATATGTGCACTGAAATCTTCTATCCACAGAGCAGCACAGGTAGCAAAAGTGCAAGCTTCTCCATACCAGGCAATGTGCTGAGGTGACGTGCCTCAGCTCTGACCTGAATGGACCATATCTAGGGGACAACAGTACAGCTGTTATTAATAGTCATTTTAGTTTATCATGTTGCATAACAGACTGTCAAGGCCACATTGATTTCCTACACAGAGTGCCTTTGGAATAGGAATTTTCCTGACTAGGCTCTATAGAAAGGAAAAAAGTATATCACACAAATAAACAAACTACTAGAAACAAGAAGTTCATAGAATCTCTTTGCTGCTTTAACTTGTCCTCTGTTAAAGGGCCCAATCTTGCGAAGAGCTGAATATCCTCAACTCCTACTGATTTTTATAGGAAAGAAGGATACACACCATCATGGAAGACCAGGCTTAATTGCCCTCTCCCATGAACAGGCCAGTGTTTCACAAATAGCTGTTTTGTTTCTAAATTATTTTAATTGGCTCTTCGTGTTTTATCTTGATTCTTTGGGCTATTTCCTCTGCTAAGTTTTGCTAAGTGTACTTTGTGTTCCAATCCACTGGTATTGCTTAGGCAGGACTTCCATGTTTGAAAAGGATGCTTATTTAGCCCTAACCAACTCAAAGGGTATCATATGCATGTCTACAACCACAAAATGATGCGAAGGCTGTTTTGCTATTAATGATTTTCCTCACCTTTAATGTTTTATATATTACACACACACACACAGCTTTGAAGAGGTAGGAGTACTAGACAAGCACTAAGTTTTGTTTTTAAGTCGGCCCTTTCAAAGATAGTCACAGTTATTATTAGGGTTAGTTACCCTGTACGCGATCAAACCTAACTGGGCTCTGCTCACTGTTACCCAGTGGAAATCCTACACACTTCATGTATGCTAAAAACTACAACCACGCCATCTACTGCACTCCAAACTACATCACTAGTTTCTCACCCAATGCCTATTGAGATTCATTATAGGATCCAGTTCAAAAGTGAACCAAGGAGGAAATCAAAACAGCCCATGGATTTGCCTCAATTTACCTCATGCATTTGGTCTCTTTTTCCAATTCCATCCCTGTTCATTTATAGCTTGCCTCCTCAATTCCTTTCCACATTCTCTCAGAAATCACAGTGCTAATTTGTTGAAAGGGGGACCTAAACTCCTTTAAACAAACAAAAATGGAATCTTTCCATGTTTGATTTTAAATTAAATGTAAAGCTCCTGAAAAGCACTAAGTTGGCTGCTTTATTTACCCACAGAACAGGGATAGCAGGGCCAGGAGCAGTGCAGACTTCCCCATACTGCCCCTCGTATTTTACATGACCATCAAAGACCACATTCAGGTAGCAAGGCAACAGCTTTTGGCCAAGAATGGACTGAGTTGCATTTCAGCTCTGTATTCTGTTATCAGCCTGCTGAGGTACTGTGTCCAGTTTCCCATCCCAGCTACACTGCACACCAAAAGCAATTAGAATCAATTCAAACTAACAATTTTTAACTCCAGACATTAGCCCATTAAGATGATGTTACCTAAGCTTCTGTCAAGCAGATCTCAAATCTTGCATGAGAAGGGACTTACACATAATATGCTGAACTGAAAAGGGGAACTTCAGAGAATGCCTCTCACCAGTCTAATTTGTGATGCTATATTTTGACAGACCACATTTTAATGTTATAAATTATATCAGGGAAAGGAGGGGGAGGGGGGTTCTTGAACGATCCAGTTTCACACTACAGAACTGATCCATCCATGATTATAATGAGATCAGATGTCATTCAAATACACATGGATGTGTGTCCATGTGTTGTTTTCCAGTAGTGTCATCTCCTTGTGGAATCCATCACAAGGCACAAGTTTCTCACATGACTACCATTTTTTCCCCTTCACAAAAGCACATAGCTGTATTTCCATCCTGTATTGTCTAGGCAGTTTCACATAACGCACAACTCCAATACTGTGGTGTCTGAGTATTCAATCATTTCCTACACTTAACGTGTCTTGGAGTCTCACACAGAGCTTTGTGTTTAATTGCATTTGATATACGTTAAATATAAACATTACTAGTGTAACTATCTATTGACCAATTTCACCCTTGTTTTGAAAAGCAATTTTAGGCTCATCTTCATGTAAGAGAATTTCCCCCCCAAACTATAGTGACATTTGGCATTGCAGGAATGTTGTACAGTTAGTCCATGTAAATTATAGCAAACTTCTGCTTTGGCTAGTTATCCTCTGATGTTTAAAGCAAGTCTATTTTATTTAAGGGTTTGGTGGAAGAGAAAAAACTCACCCACTCTTGCATCACTAATTTCTAAATTATAGTGGAAGAATATTCAAAATAGAGAATTTGCACTTTTTTCTGAAGTCCTAACAGCATACTTAAGGGCAATTCCGAATTGTCTATTTGTAACACACTAAAAAAGTTCTATTGGTCCATTTCAAACCCATTTACAACACAGAAATACTTAGCAAACTGTGATGCTTAGTCAATTTTAAAGTAAGTTTTCAGTTCCTCTTTAACATCAACGTGTAATACAATCAGGGATACGCTTCAGTAGTTAAATCTTTGTGCTCAGTTGGAAAAACACAAAGTAGCTACACCTCTACCCCAACATAACACGACCCGATAAAACATGAATTCGGATATAATGCGGTAAAGCAGCGCTCTGGGGGGGGTGGGACTGTGTGCTCTGGCGGATCAAAGCAAGTTCAATATAACACGGTTTCACCTATAAGTAAATACTCGGTAAGATTTTTTGGCTCCCGAGGACAGCGTTATATCGGGGTAGAGATGTATTTACTTTTTGTTGTTTTGTTCTGTTTTAATTGTTCTCTTTTTTTAACAGCTGGTCCAGCTGTTTGCAGTTACCTAGCTGCTAAAGGGAGCTACCTAGACATTATACAAGATCCACCAAGTATTAGGACTATTTTTGGATACCTGCCTAATACTAATATTGAGTTAACTTTAAGACAGTTGGAACCAAACAAAAACGAGGAGCTGTGATATGCAAAGAGTACAGTAGGGTAAACTTCAGGCAGATTAAAAACTGACAGTGGTGAGCAGGAGCAGATCACCCCAGTGTATGGAAAGACGCCAGAACTAATAATTAAGAATTTTAGCAAAAAAATTTCTATGTTCACATGGTTTTCATATAGCTTTTCTATAGTTAATATGTGGTCAGCACTCTTCAATATCTGTTTGTGGTAACAAGTCCTTTATTTTCCTGAGTGGATGACATGTTTAGAATTTTTTTTTTTTTATTTTAAAAGCTGGCTTGTTCACCAGGTTTCTTTTTAGAATTAGGTAAAAAAAATTCCTTCACTCTCCCAAAAATAATGGCAAAGCTGCTTCCTTAGACTTATTCAGATGTCTTCTGCTATACATAAAAGAGGATAAACTTGGATATAAGGTGACCTCTTTTGCTTAGGGGAAAATTAAAATTATATTTGCTTTTCACAAGCCTTGATTTGATTTCTTGATGTAGCACTTAGTTCCTATACTATTTTCCATGTGTGCATCGCTATACACAGAAGGACAGTATTTTTTTTTTAAATGAACTAGAAGAACATTCTCAGTTGTTTTAGAAAATTTAAAGATAGCTGAAGTGATTCTAAAGATAATAAACAGTTTGAGATAAAATAAATACGCAGAATTTAATTGGTAATATAGATCACATGTTAAAAATTGAAAAAAATCACCCCTTACTGTACCCAAATGATAATTAGAAAGCGGCAAATACCCAGAAGCCTTAACCAGCATATTGTTTTCAGATCATCCCTTCTTGCCGGGGTCAACAGAACTCTGATCTCAACAAACAAAGCTTACAGCTCACCTTCATAATAGTCACATGTATATTCTGAAATCTATACATATACTCCAGCTGAAAAGCAACTCATTTGTTTAGATTTGAGAAATATTTCAGTTTGCTTTAAAAATATTATTTTGAGAAGGTACAAACTGATGTTTCAGCGCAGCAAATACTGAACACGCTGTTAGGTTAAAAAGACATCACTAGCCTATTTCAACTAAACTCAATATGGTAATTTTTACTTTTAAACCCAGGATGGAGGGGAAAGAGTAACAGAATTTTGTTGCACGGTAGCGTAAGAAAACAATACACGTTGGAACTGCTTCACAGCTTTCACTCAAGAGTTTTATTCATTGAATAAAAAACATCACTAAGAAGTTATAGCAGGACAGTAACCAAACTCCGTATTAGTTTATGGACTGATCTTGGGATTTGTTCCTGGAAATGTTCAGCAACTGATGCAAACGTCCCCTCATTTCACCACTTTTCCCCCCTTCTCCTGCAAAATGTCACTGATTGACGCTCTGACATGGGGCAGGCAAAGAAAATCAGAAACAGTTTTAGGAGGGAAAGGAAAGTTTGTGCCAGTAGCTGAAACTACATGGTATTACCGAAACTAAATTTCTCTTTCAACTATTGTCATTTAGCACCCAGGCATTTAGACTCTAACTTGCACAATTTGGTCACAAATTTGGTCTGAGTAACTAAAGAAGAACAAAACAACTTTGGAGTATTATGGCCCATCTGGAATAAGAGGCCCCACTTGAAAAACAGCTTTTGAATTTGTTGACTTTATGGCATTTTAGGCACATGGTTATATTTCCAGTAGAATTTAAGCTAGAACATCCAATTACCTCTGAAAATTACATTTTCAAAAAAGATAACTGGCCTACCTGTTTTGCAACAATGTATTGACACTGCTTTTATGGTCGGTGTTCTGTTCTGCCACAAAAGATTTTTTAGCCTTTTTAGCTAATCCTGTGTTTGAGATATTATTTCCAAGTGGGCAAGAGGCATTATTACTGTTTCTTGCTTGGTCTGTTTGCTCTCCTGTGCTGTGTGCAGTCTTTGGAGTACCTCCACACATCTTCTTAGTTCAGATGTACTCTCCCAAAGCTTCTTGAAAATACTGAACACTGGCTTAAGAGATATGGCTATTAGTGAGTTGCTTCACTATGGCTCAGCATCCAGCAACCATGGACATTTCCTCTCCGAGAAGAAATTCAACCAAGTCTTTTGTAGCAATCCACTGGGTTTCTTTTTTACAACAAGAGTAGCATGTTCTGCCAACCATAATTCAGGAAGACAATTGCATCCAATGTAATGTAGTATTTATCCCAAATTAGACCACCACACAGAACTTTCAAATTTCAAAGCCCATCCAAGATTATCTCCTGCTTCTGTTGCTGGAGTTTTTCCACCAAGACCAGTAAGCAGTCAGCAGATATTGATTTTAACTACCTTTGTTTCCTGGTATGTGATTATGTAGCTGGCAATTATTTATTTGGTCACAAGACCAAACCATATGGCCTCTGAAAGAAAGAGCATAGGTGCTTTTGCACTGACTCGCCCTTAGCTGCAAGGTTGTTCTAACACTGGCTACAACACCCTCTTAATGGCTCTCATGTGAGCAAGTGTCATCTGACAACTCTTAGCAACCACCTATGGCTCAGCACCATACTTCAAATGCAAATAAAAATCTGTCACCAATACCCTACAGTTATCAGTAAGGAATGATTAACACCAGCAAACACCCCAGAATTTTTGCACAGTAATGGTTTTACTCTGTAGAGTAAACACTTTATGTTCAGCTAAGAACCTGATACTGCTTCAAAAAAAAGCTTTTACACAGTGGAAGGGAAAACTGCTTACAGAATATAATTGATAAGTAAAATCTGGTGAATATGAGGGAGATAATGTTTCACTTTTACACTTGCTTAAAAAATATTTCCCTTAAAAAGACTGATGTTTTAAATACCAAATAGGAGTTAAAAAATGTAGTCCAACTAAAAACATTCCCCCCCCCTTTTTTTTTTAAATGACTAACATCCACTTGGAGAAACAGGTTTAGAATTAAAACCAGACTTTCGTTTTTACAACAAATGGATATTCAATCCCTTCAGTGGTGCATGTGTAACACCGAGAGACCCCTGTCATTGGCAGGCCGGTCAAACCAGGGACCTCTAGAGCTATATGCATGAGCCTTTACTGCATGAGCTAAAAGCCATGCGGCTGTTAGCGAAGGCTGTAGCAGACTCATTAATTTAAGTGGTCTCGGTGCCACTAGATGGGACAGAACACTACACAGGTGTTTGGGTTACACAGACCAAGAGGACACATCTTGTTTTCTGTAAGCTCAACTATCATCATCATGTTAGAGTATATAATTGTCCCTTCTGCCCTTAAAAAAAGGATTCTACCCAAAAAACCTAAGCACCCCACACAAGATCACCATTTTCCGCTAAAATTTGCTGTAGAGTACCGTCTACCAAAAATAAGTTTTGCATTCATAAAGCCCTTTTCATCCACAGACCTCAAAACTCTTTATAAGGTAAGTATTATCTCTTCTTACAAATGGGACAACTTAGGGGGAGCAGTGGTTGATGATGGGGGTGGGTGTGCAAGGCTGGTGGCGGGGCAGAGCTGCAGCATGAGGGGCGGACGCTCCCCCTGCTGGTCCCTCAGTGAAGCCCCCGCTTCGTTCCAACTCTTGGCCAGCAGGGCCCCGTCCCCCATCCTGTTTCTGGCCGGCACTAGCTGCGTGCTGTGAGCTGTGAGCTGTGAGCTGCAGTGACTGGTGCGTGCGGGCAGGCGCCAGGCAACAGCCAGCTATGTGTCGCCTCTGCTGCCCACCCATCGACCCTTTATGTGCTCCTCCTCTCGCTCTCCCCTCCCTGCTTTGCTCCTTTGCCCCCTCAACCCCGTTGCTCCTACATATCCCCCTAGGCAGGGTGTATCCTGCTCCCAGCACTGTGCGGAGAACCAGCCTCTGGTCGGAATGCTTGGCTCACCAGTAGCCTGGTCAGCAGGCTCCTTCCCTCCCCCTGTCTACACTGGCAACATAGCGCTTTAACGTTGCTTGTATGGTCGCGGCAGAGCGCTGGGAGCCAGCTCTAAAAAAACCCACCTCCACGAGGAGTGTGGCTCCCAGCGCTGGTGCACTGTCTACACTGGCACGTTACAGCGCTGAAGCTTGCTGCGCTCAGTTGGGTGTTTTTTCACAGCCCTGAGCGAGAAAGTTGCAGCGCTGTAAGACCCGCTGGCCCAGGATGCTGGCTAGGAGGAGCATGTGCCAAAGACCCGTTCAGCCTCTCTGCCCCTCAGCTAAGCTCCCGAGTGGAGCCCTAAAGCGATTTTAAGCCTGTTCATGCCCCAGCCGTGCAGGCTCCACAGCAGCCCCCTGGGCAGGGACTTAGCTCCCTCTTCCCCTTCCCCTCCTGCCCCCT